CCGGATAAGAAATGTAGGTCCTCCTTCCCATGGGCTCACCACTTGTGGGAGGGGCCAAAGGGGTTGGGTGCAGTGTGTGATGGGTGGTAGCTGAGGGTGGGGACCTTGGAGGTCTGATCCTCGGCTACAGAAGCTGGCTCTTGGCACATGGAATGTCACCACTCTGGTGGGAAAGGAACCTGAGTTGGTGTGTGAGGTTGAGAGGTTCCCACTAGATATAGTCAGACTCACCTCATGCATGGCTCTGAACCAGTTTCCTTGAGAGGGGTTGGACTTTCTACCACTCTGGAGTTGCTCCCACTGAGAGGCATAGAGAAAGGGTTGCTGGTATCTGATCAGGATGCCTCCTGGATGCCTCCCTGGTGAGGTTTTCCGGGCACGTCCAACCGGGAGGAGACCTAAAGGGAGACCCAGGAAACGGTGGAGGGACTATGTCTCTCACCTGGCCAGGGAACGACTTGGGATTCCCCCGGAAGAGCTGGCCCAAGTGGCTGGGAAGAGGGCAGTCTGGGCCTCTCTGCTTAGGCTGTTGCCCCCGCGACCCGACTCCGGATAAGCGGAAGAAAATGGATGGATGGATGGATGGATGGATGGATGGATACAGAAACTCCTAAATCAGTCCATTTTGGAACATTTTTGTTGTCAGGATCCACAGCAGATCAACGGACCTGTATTTATAGCGAACTCATCTGTGTGTGCTTCTTTCTTTGTGCAGAAATTATTTTCATGAAAGATGTGGGGAGTGAGAAAAGTGAATGCTGCTTTTTCAGATTGGTGGTTCTAAACCTTCTGACCTAGACCAGAGATAGAGCAACGTATCGATCAGCCGATATATCGGGCCGATACGTACCACTTTTTATGTCGGCATCGATCAATACCGGTGGTGTGACCAGGCCTCTTAAACGGATGCATTCATGATGACTTAGATCTGAGCAGATTTTGTGTTGGCAGAAAAATCAAACCAACTAAAACTAAAAGTCCACCTTCAGTTCGTCTTTGTTGTATTGAAACATTTTCTTTTCACTTGTTTTGTCCCGTTTTATGTTGTCAAACGACTAAAGTCAGTAAGAATTTATTGATGCTGGAGTGGGAGTGCAGCTAAAAACAGCAGCTTTGTTTGAGATGTGTTGCTGCTTGTAAATGTTCTGAAAAGAATGAATCATATACACAATCTGAAAAGACATTTCTCTTTTTGTCACATAGTAGTTCCAGCTTGAACAAGTCACAGAAAGCCTTTGTGTAGGGGCTTAGATGGTGCCAAAATATTTTAATAACACGTCATTAGTTCGTAATTCTTAATGCTTGTGCAATAAAAAATGGTTTACTAAACCAAATTATGGTAAATAAGGGATTCCATGCAGAAATGTGCAGACCTGGACAGATTTTATTTGAAATGTAGTACAATTTCAATAAAACATTTTTATTCTGCTTATTTTCACAGAATATAAAACTAACTAAATGTAAAATCTCACTTTTGCCTCATGAAAATATTCCAATTTTGCACGAAGGACTCCTGAATGAGATGAACTGGGTGAAGTTCTGGAGAGGAGAGCAGATGAGATATCACTTATCAAGCTTCCACTCTGATACTGTAAAGCTACTGTGTGTTTGTGTGTGTCTGTGTGTGTGTGTGTGTGTGTGTGTGTGTGTGTGTGTGTGTGTGTGTGTGTGTGTGTGTGTGTGTGTGTGTGTGTGTGCGTGTGTGTGTGTGTGCGTGTGTGTGTGTGTGTGTGTGTGTGTGTGTGTGTGTGTGTGTGTGTGTGTGTGTGTGTGTGTGTGTGTGTGCTATTTGTCCAGCCTGCAGGACATGTAGACAATACCAGTAAATATCTTCACCCTGACAAACCCGGCTGCGTCCTTACCTCAGAAATCTGACTTATCTCATGCTTTCAAGCTCTGTTTATTTCTAGCAACTAAACTAAATGTATACAAAAATCCCCTTAAACAATCTGTTATTAATTACTGGTCCACATTTAGACAAGTAATCCTATTGTTTGAATTCTGTAAGCATTATTATTCTTTCAATATTCTTCCGTATGTTTTTCTCCTACAACTATTCAGCAATTGTCATAAATGAGGTATCGAGACACTTCTGCTCAATCAGGACTTGCCAGCCATGGCGTTTGGAAATGGGATCTTTTCAATTTTTAAATGTTTATGCAAAAAATTCAATTATTATTGGGGAGAGCCAAACTTCAAACGCACCATATGGTAACCAAGCAATCAGCATTCAAACAGCATTTCTGCAAGAAATGCAATTTATCTTGGTGTTATGATGTTTCATCATTTGATTTAAAATCAGGAAGCCTCTGAATGAAAACGAGCAAAACAGAAGTGGGCCAACGTGTAAAATGTGCACAAAACCTTCAGAATCCATATGTAGGCATTTAATCTTCTTACTCAGAAAATGATTGGATTATGCTTCTTTGTGTCAAACTGAGATTCTTGTTATTTACACCTAAAATCTGCTTTAAATGTATGAATGTGATGATGATAATATTTGGTTTATATCGAACACAAACAGTTTGGAACTCTGAGAACTGAACAATGTTCTAGATGTTTTGCAGTTAAACTCCTGCTCCTCAAATGCATTATGACCTCAGACACCTATGTTGGGGTCATGGCCTCTCTGTGGATTATGAATAACAAAGTAAAATTTCTCAAGATGATAAGGATTATTTAAACTAGTTCTTGACAGCATAATGTTGGATGTAAGAAGACGAGTTCCAGTCGTCAGTGTTGATGCCGTTACACAATCCATAAAAGTAATCCTAATGAAGAGTATCCTTGACTGTTAGTGGGTTTTAATACCCAGTGAACTGCACCCTGTGGATCAGACCACTCTTTGGGTTCCCAATAAGGTTTGTGCTGCTTGAGCTATTTTGTGAAATGTAGGTCCATTAAGTACACCTCTGTGTCATGGCTGTCCATTTGCTGGTGTTCTCCTGACCCTTCTCCCCATTACCCCTTTTACATTTTATTATTATTTAGCGGCCATCTCTCATCTTCACTCACTTACATTTAGTCAAGGTAATAGACTTGAAGGCCAATAGGATTTCTATTCAGGAAGAGAACCTTTTATAAAGTTTTTTTTTATGTCAGAAGATGAAATCTAAGCTCAAGTGCTTCATATAATAAATCCTAAAGGCTTAATAAACTACAAGTCCGTTGTTACATTTATTTTCTGTATACATTTTAATTGTTTTACAAGCTGCAGGGACAGCAGTAGCACAGGAGGCAGAGTGGGTTGTCCAGTAATCGGAAGGTTGCGGGTTCAATCCCGGCTCTGACCAGATAATGCTGTTGTTGTGTCCTTGGGCCAGACACTCAACCCGACTTGCCTGCTGGTGGTGGTCGGAGGGACCGATGGTGCCTGTGTTCAGCAGCCTCGCCTCTGTCAGTGCACCCCAGGGCAGCTGTGGCTACATCGTAGCTCATCACCACCTGTGTGTGAATGGGTGAATGACTGATTGTGCTGTGAAGCGCCTTGAGGGGGTAGTAGAACCAAGATGGCGCTATACAAGTACAGGTCATTTACCAAGTCTTTGGAGTTCATAAAGGTGATATGAATCGTAACTGTTGACACAGACAGAGAACAAGCAGCTCTAATGTAGAAGTAGGTAGATGTCAAAATAAAAGCTTTAGATGTGAATTAATGGTACAGAATGAAGAATGTTGTTTGAAATGTATGCCATACAGCTTTATTTTAATCTTTGTTTTTGTGCCCAAACTCTTTATATTCCACACAAACAGCTCCTGATTGAACACGTTTTTATATCCACTCACTCACACTTTAACATTGAGGCTTCTTTGGTAGCACTTCTCTGCTTTGATTCATTCCCAAGACTTAACGTGTTTGAAAAAAAAATCATTGGATATACTTATGCTGAATAATCTTAAGTATTTTACGATATTCTGTATTTGTTTCATACTGTATGTCATATAACCGGTCGTTTGTTTTGTTTCAAATCGGCCACTTCCTGATGTAATTGGACGCCTTAAAATGTCAACTCTGTATGTTTCCTAAGCTAATCCGCATTTATATAAAACAATCAGGATGTTAGTATTAACCAAAATATTTTGCATTTATACGTTTGTATCGATTGAGCTGATTTTCAGCGTGAACTAACAGACTTTTCAAAATAAACCTCTACAACGGTCCTCAATTATTCAAAAATTCTATTTTCATTTTACAGATTATATTTAAGCACTTCTCATCAATTTGACAATATGGAAAACAACATGGCAATAGATGGCAATAACTAGAATACATTGTTTGTAATTCATTAATTAGAGAACAAATGATTTGTTTTTTATCATCCTACCTGAGGTAGAGCCAAGTTCATCTAGTTTTTTTTTTGTCTTTTATCGAAGCAAAAAAACAAGCACAACCAACGTAAAGATATTTTTTAATATATAAAATATACTTTGTGTGGTTTGAAGTGAGACATAAAAGTGTGACTTGTCTCTGTAGAGGCTTGTTTTTAAAGGTAGCTGGTGCTGGTCTTTTGAGAATGAAAGAAAACACATTTTCAGTGGCTTAGAAGAGAAAAATCTGCTCTCTTCTGCTTCTGTTTTCGTTTCATTGTTTGCTTTGGTGACAAAAGCTGCAGAGAAGCACTTTACAGCAACATCGAGTGAATATTAAACAGGTGCCATTATTCCTGTCAGTGTGGGTTCAACATGCAGCTTTGCTAAAAGAAAAAGAAAAGTTATGACAGCATGAATGCTTTTTCTGTATTTAGCTATTGGAACCAGTAAATCTCCGATTTCACCAACAATAGTTGATTTAGTGCTGCGGTGATCTCGATCAAATATAAAATCCTAATCTCAGCTTCAGATCAATCTACCAGAGTGAAGCAGGAAGACATTTCTCCATCTGCTTTATGTTTTCTTTGATTATCTCATGGCTACCTGGCAAAATATGATAAATGTTCATTATAGAAATACATTTAATTTTTGGCTTTTTTAAAGCTTTCTTCCTTCTCTTGATATTGTAGTTCTGCTGCGTGAGGAGGTGGCCCAGCTCCAGGAGGAAGTGCACCTGCTGCGGCAGATGAAGGACATGTTGAGTAAGGACTTGGAGGAGAACCAGGGATGCTGCTCGGCTGACGTTCTTTCTGCCACGGAGCTCCGAGTGCAGCTGGCTCAGAAGGAGCAGGAGCTGGACCGAGCCAAGGAGGCTTTACAGGGTAAAGACTTCGGTCAGGAAACAAGAAGCCGAGTGTGTTATTAGAACAGGGACATCTTTATCAAACCAGATCTATGAACGGTGGTGCCCAAAAGCTCCAAAGATGCACTGAATTTGTAATTTTTTTCCACAATAATCGAAAATACACTGTAGATTCATTCACCATATGAGCCGAAATGAAGGCTGAATGAAAACGTGACGTTCTCTCCTACAAACTGAGTTTAGTTAAGTATCCAAACATTGTATACAAGAACTATTATTAATGACGTTAGAACTGCAGTGCATTGGTGCGGATTGGTGCTGCGTCTGCAGTGATGTGGGCGTTGTATCGATCTATTGTGGTAAAGAGAGAACTGAACCAGGAAGCAAAGCTCTTGATTTACCGGTTGATCTACGATCCAACGCACAGCTATGGTCCCAAGCTTTGGGTAGTGACCAAAATAATGAGATTGAGGATACAAGAGGCTGAAATGGTTGTCTGGGCTCTCCCTTAGAGACAGGGTGAGAAGCTCGGTCATCTGGGAGGGTCTCGGAGTAGACCCGCTGCTCCTCCGCATTGAGAGGAGCCAGTTGAGGTGGCTCGGGCATCTAGTTAGGATGCCTCCTGAATGCCTCCCTCGTGAGGTTTTCTAGGCATGTCCAACCGGAAGGAGACCTAGAGGAAGACCTAGGACACGCTGGATGGACTATGTCTCTCAGCTGGCCAGGGAACACCTCAGGGTTTTAGTGTCTAGAGAGAGGGAAGTCTGGGGCTCTCTGCTTAGACTGCTGCCCTCGCGGCCCGACCCCGCATAAGCATCCGAAATCTGATGGATGGATGGATGGATGGAACTGCAGTGCATGACACGTCACATAATCAAATGTGATTGTTTTAAATTTTGTCATAATATAATCTAAGTTCCACCAGAAGTCAATTCAAACAAGGACACAACTACACTAAGATCATCTTCTGTTGAGAAATAATGGTATTATTAATGGAGTAGTGGTTAGGAATTGTAGCAAGAAGGTCCTGGCTTCTTCCCAACAAGCAAAAATAATTCTAATGGTGTTCATTGTTGTTTAAGTGTCTCTGTGATGGACTGGCACCTTGTCCAGGGTGTACCCTGCATGTTTGCCCAAAGATCACTGGAGATAGCTCTCCCGCGACCTTGCAAGGATGAGTGGACATTGATTATGGGCGGATGGATGAATGGATGTTGTCATTTAGTCATTTTGAGCTCAAATTTAGAAGATAACATGATAGCACAAGATCTTGTATCATTTCTCAGCACTTGGAGTGGCATGAACAGCTCTGTTACTGCTCCATCAAGTCTTCGTTCAAATCTTTAACACTGATTGGACATTTTTATGTTTTTATGAGATACATAATTGGGTTTATTCCAAGAGTTATGTATGTCCAATCAGTTCATTCACTGCAGTGTTGCGTTAGGTGTTTCAGTATTGTCTCCAGCGTTAATCGCAGCTACAACACCACCAAAAATGTAACTGCAAATCTGTCAAATTGACAAGAGTTCTCGCCAATTTCTGTGTTGACTAATGCTAACTGTCATTGGCAGTCATCTTGAATCAGCTGGGCACCAAATCTTAATCCGATGTCCATCCAATGAAGACTTTTTTAGAATTTCAATAAACAACTTAAGTGACTCTAAATCCTGGACTGAAGACCTCTGCGTCGAGCTGTAAGAAACCAGGATGTTGGTTTGAAGCAGAAGGGCTAAAGAAAATCAGCTTACTTCTCTTAGTGGAAGTAATTTCTATTTTTTGGTCGAAAACATTGTCAACCATTGAGGGCACAGCTGCTTTGATTTTCTTCTCAGCACTTTTACTCCCACTGAGAGCAGGTCTGCTTTATTTTGCTCCAAAGAGCTTGAAACCGGTGCATAGTTTCCTGTCATGATAATGTTAACATTAGAGCCTAAAACAGCATGTTCCATGCAGTCCATTAGCTGCATCGTGGTCCATTAGCATGTGTTATGCCTGTGAGATGATGTAGTATGTGAGGGGAACAGATAAACCCATTGCTGCAACTATTTTCCTTTGAATTTCCTCTTTAAACAGCTCTAATGTGAAAGAAAATAACCTATTCCCTACTTCAGTCATATTAGTGATGTTTCAGACTTTTTAACAATAGCAGGCATAAGATCAAAGACATTGAAATGTGTACATAGTCCATGCTTTATTCTGTGTTAATATGAAACAGTTGTTTTTGGTTCTCTATCATAGTTTTAGGGCTGGACTTTTGCCAAAATACTTGCAAAACAGCAGAGAATGTGCACACTAGAAAGTAAATGAACATTTTCTGCCAGCCTCTGCTCTGTCTATGACAGGGCATCTAGCGGCGATGTCATCAGAACGGCAATGAATCAAATCATTCTTTTCAAAGAATTATCACCCATGAAATGAGGCAGGGTGCAGAACTATCATTTGGAATCACACAAAAGCCCGACCTGCTTTCTGGAGATTTTGCTGCTGCGACGTTTCAATCTACGCTCGCAGCCCACGTTTTTCTGTTAGAAGGGAATGGACATGAAAATGGACTGGAGCTGAGCAGAATGGAACACACATTAAATAACTACTTATCTCTTCCTCAGCTGGATGTTAAGCTCTCCAAACAGACTCCTCTCAGCCTCATGCCGGCGTTTGTATGACTCAGGCATGTTAATGAAGGCCAAAGCCTACCAGCCCCAGCAGGCAACGACAGTAATCAGTGGCTAATAAAAGCTTGATAAAGGGGGACTTTGGTTGACTTACAAGACCAGGAACATTAAGCAGAGTAGCTCTACTCTGCAATTAAGAGTGGGAATATTTGGGAAGAGGAAATAGTCACTTTTGAAGTGGGATCATGGAGGTAAATGGAAATGGCTGTGAGAGCAAGGATGTTTGTGTTGCTATTACTTCCTGATATTTGTTTGCCTTTAAAACCACAAAGGTGTGTTTGCATTTTTGTTACAGTAGCAAACTTTTAGCCTAGAAATCAAACCGTAGCGGTAGCCGAAGGTTTTGCGCTGCAGGTTGGTGTAACCACACTTCACTGTAGCCTCAGCAGGTTTACCATTGGCTCGTCTAAGTTTAGGCCAGGCCAATCACATCGCCCTATGTTCGTAGAGAGATGTTGGATGCGCTTAGCACCGTTACAGCAGACCTTTTTGTTTATTGTCTTATGATGAAGGAAGAGCTGTGACCGAGCAAAACAACAACGATGGTAGCGGCTCAGGAATGGCGCTCGCTTGAGACGGCTTTGGTACCAACTTTGGACGATCTAGACTTGGGTGCTTTTCTTTGAGACATGACCAGATAGAAGAACTTCTGCTACTTCTTCAGCGATTTATGGTGGACTGCCATGTTGACTATTTTCTGTATTGATTGTTATCGCTCTGATTGGTCCTGGCACCATCCAGTAGCGTAATCCACAGTTAACGTCACTGTGCAAGTGCTGCTGGGTGCTAGTGCTAGACAACCAAACTACATTTACCAACTGAAAAAAAATAGAGTGCGTGGATGTTGATGAAAACAAGTCGACAGGAACGAAAGTTTAACGTTTTTGCTCAGTTACTCATTACTCACAGTGCTCAAGTAACATTTTCTCCAAGTTCTTTTTTACTCTTAGGTTATTATTTGTGTCACTACATTTTTCATACCACCCACCTCTGGCCAAAAGCCTTTTTCGTCCACGCTTGGATGCTGTTTGGTTGAGACGTTCAGGTGGACCTCTTAGTTTTCACCGCTGCCTCCTAGACACCTCCACAACTGAGAGCGTTGCTAGTATCAGCTCTTCATTCTCAGATGTACGATGTTTCCCACCGGCAAAATATATGAAACAAATCTACACGCACCTCTTGATCTGCTCCACACTGTGAAAATCTGCTCTTCCACAGAAATACTGCCACCACTTAGCTTTATCTGGCTTTAGCTTGGCCTGTTCTCTTTTCCAGTTGTTTAATTTTGTCTTCTTACTCGGCTTTGGAAAAGCGACAAAAAAATCGCTTCTGACGTCTGACCTGGGCATCAAGAGTCCAATTAGCACTTCTCCCAACACCGACATATTAACAACATATTTAAGCGATGAAACTACAACTCTGAGACAAACGGACAGACTCAGACACATAGGCACCCGAGAAAAATACACGCTTGCTTGTCTAGGGCTACATCCCACAATGCATTGCAACGTTATGTCACGATTTATTTGTAGCTATTATAGAATTCTCTTTTGCATGTGGAGGCAGTTTGAACGAAAACTGTAGATTCTACCCCTACGACCGAGCTCCATCTATGGCCAGACTGCATGATTACAAATAAGGGATGGCTTGCCAGGCTAGCAAACTTTACAATAAAAACAAAACTGCTTATGTGATGCTGCTTTCCTTCTGATCTGATCAGTAGCTAGATGGTCTTCAGCTCTGTTTGTTTTCTCTACAGTTGTCACTCTCAATCTTCTCAAACTCACACTATTGATTTCTGCACACTCTCTCTCTTTTAAGGCAGCCAGAAAAGGGCAATCGCCGTGTTGCTCTCTGCTCTTTGCTTGTGATGGGTAACAGCTTGTGAATGTTGGCCTTGTCCCCAGTTGTGTTTACAGTTGTTTCTCAAGAGGAACCTAAAAGACATCTGTCAACCAGTTTCATTGCAAGTGCTTCTATAACAAGGGTTTGTGTTTTCTGCTCTGGAGATTTGCTCATAAAAGAGTCAGGGACATTTATCTGTTAGTGTGTCTGTCTGTCCGTTTTCCACCACTCATCCAAAGGTCTGTTGCAGCAGCAACAGGTCTAAGAGAGAAGCCCAAACATCCTATTCCCCAGCAACTCTCTTTAGCTCCTCCAGGGAATTCCCAAGGCTTCCCCCTGGCTGGCAAAGAGGATACATAAACCTTCCAGCAAGTTTGGAGTCTGTCTCAATGTCTCCTCCCAGTGGAATGATCATTCCTGAAAGACCTCCAGACTGAGGTGACCAGGATGCCTCCAAATGAAATACTTGAGTCACATTAGCTGACCCCATCGACGTGGA